TTTAAAGAAGATAAAACTGGAAGTCTGTTATTAGCATTTTACAACTGCATGAAAAATGTGGCATTTGTGAGGAATCTCTCCGAACACTTGATCAACCCAGGAAACAATAATCAGGAGGAAAATATGAGTTACATGCAAAAGAAAGCAGCAGGTCTCAGTTTAGAAACAGGCTCTAGAGCCCCATGCTCCATCCCAGCAGTCCACCTGCGCTTCTGGAGTTGTGATCTTCCTGTCTCTTCTTGTACCATAATCACGTAGGGCTTTCTTTCAAGATAGTTAAAATTAAAAGTTCATTCAGAGTAATATTCATATGCTGTTGATGGAAGGTAAACTGACAGTTTTATTTTATTTTATTTTTTGGAAGAACTGGCAATAGAACTCAGGGCTTTATGCTTGCTAGTCAGGTGTCCTACCACTTGGAACCACTCCACCAGTAAACTGACATTTTAGAGGAAATTTAGTACAATCTCTATGAAATACCTGCAAATATTGATGCACCAATTCCATTTCTTCTAAGTATTTCTCTTACAGATAATGCTACCAAATCCTGCTTATGTATGTCAACAGATCTTAGTGTAGTTTTATGATGAAAAATATCTGATGTGCATGGGTAAGGGAAAGGTTTAACTAATTTATACAATGAAAAAGTATGCAGCAATTTTAAAAAATGACATAGACTTATAGGTTCTGACTCAAAAGATTTCAAGATACACTAAGTATAGAAACATGTAGAACTGAGTTTTATGACATCTGAAATCTGGGATGACATAGGAAAAAATGTTGAAAGTGGTGGTGAGAGCTGGGATGGGGTGTGAGAAAACTGACTTTTCATTCCATACCTTTCTGCGTTGTTTGAATTTTTATCATAGACATGTATGAACTTGAGTGAAGTAATAATATAGAATTTCGAGAGAAAAGTTTAAGGTGAGCCTCCACTTGGCTGACATTGTAGCTCAAGACATTGAAAATCTTATCAATGACACCTTTTCTTCTGGGATATCATCTTCATCCTTTAGTAATAAATAGATTTCCCAGAACACAATCCATGACTTAATTTGTCTCCTTAGGGGGCTGGGGTTCATGCTGCACAGGGGAAATGACCAGTGTAATAAATTTCAATGAACCCATGAATTTAGGATCAAGTGTGCTAACAGGCCTGTTTCATAGTCAGAAAACACACTGCATTTAGGTTGACAGTTTTAGATGCGTTTTCCAAGACCTCCTTTAAACAATTTGATTTCTTCTTACAGAGTCACAGGTGACAGCTTGATGAAGGTCAGGCTGTCACTCCTTTTGACTGAGGTCTAATATTTGTGGACTTCCTGTCTCTCCCCTTGACAGACACGCCCACCCAGCCCACCCCCTTCCTGGCTTGATCTTTCTCCAGAAGGGGCTGAGCAGTTCTTTCCACTGCTGATCTTTCTTCAGCATCTAGAACTGTACCCAATGCACAGTTTGCACACTACAGACATCTATCAAATGATTGTCTAAATTAATGTACAGATTGTTGGACAAACCAAGCTGACTACTGCCATGGTCCTTAACTACTTTTCTCTAGCTCTGGTTTACTGGTTATAGAAAGAGCAGCACTGCCCTGACACAAGAATTCGCACTAATAGACACCTATTCACCGTATAGGTGCACTTTTCTTCTCTGTGGCTGGTGCCAATGGTTTTAATTAAACAGAGAATGTGAATCTCTTCTCTTCTGGTATCAAAGGTGTTTACTGAACCACTGAAGTGAATTTAATGTTATTCTAAATCAGAGAGGGGTATGAGCTTAATTCGACAATAGGTTTGTTTATTTAAAAGTAACCACTTGAAGCGAAAGTGTCCTCTGATGACCACTTTTGATGATCTTGTACAGACCATGTTTCCCATGTCCATCTATCCTCTCACTGCAGATAATCTTCCCCATGGCAGCTTTCATAGGCCTGTCCTGACACACACGTTTTGTACCTCCCAAACTAAGTACAAACCAAACAACAGCTTAGACAGATGCATTTTTCCTTCCACTAAGTTGACTCACTGTTCATCCCAACTGCCCCCATGGACAAATGGGTTAACAGATATGTCAGAAGGGATAGGGAATCCTCTGTACAAGTATAAAGAGGTAAAATTAACGTTGATGCAAAAATGTCATTTTGTTACCATAAAATTTAGATAAATTCCTATTTTTAAAAATGTAAAAAAGGTTATGTTTTCCTATTAAATTTAAGACTGTCTTTTGCCACAAAACCTGAAGTACAGATGACTAACTTTACCCACTAACCCTGATAAATTTCCAACAAGTTTATACAAACTACTATTATGATGTGTTCTGGAATGACTTTTTCCTCAACTCACTCAGAGCTTCCCTACTGTGGATACAAAAAGTCAACAAATTGCACAGTTTTTACTAGTGAGTTCTTACTGACAAATACATGCATAAGTAGTATCTTTTGACTTTACATATAACATTGGAGAAGCAACACTACTGACTCCCAGGAGTCAGTCTGCTGGCAAGTTTCAGAGAACTTCAACTTGAATTGATTGTACTTCTATTCTGATCCAGAGTCAACTTCAGTATGAGATGTCAAATCGTAACAAAACTTGAGATGCATAAATATCTCAGCTATCAGATAAAAGTAAGAACTCACAGGACTGAAGGTAATTGCTCAATAACAGACCTAAAGGAAGCTGCCCTGGTTATGGTGCAAAGCTGAATGAAGGACTTCTCACATTATGTGACCAGTGATTCTGTATATTTTCCAGATTAATGTGTAAGAAATGTTAAAAAGGTTGGGCACAGTGGCTCATGCCCACAGTCCCAGCTACATGGGAAATGGATTTTGAAGGATTGCTATCTTAGGGAAGCCAAGCAAAAAGAAAGGGTGAGACCCTATCTGAAAAATGACTAAAACAAAAAGGTCTGAAGTATGTCTTAAAAGCTAAAGTGCTTTGCCTATTGGCAAATAACAGGCCTTGAGTTCAAGCCCCAGTACCACCAAAGAAAAAGAAAACAAAAGTTACAAAGAAAACAGGGGAGGTAGGGAGAATGTCTTTGGTCTCTTGCCAGTTTCTTTTTTTCTTTTGTGATACCGGGGATTGAACCCAGGGCCTTGGCACTTGCTAGGCAAGTGCTTTAGCACTTGAGCCACGCCGCCAGCCCTCTTGCCAGCTTCAAATTTGGGTCTGGTATACAGTCATAAGAAGGAGTAGGAGATAGAAATGGTTGGCTCGTAGGAGTCAGTCTGCTGGCAAGGTACACACCTTACTGATCTTGGAACCCAAATTTTGAGGTGCTTTTCCACTGAGTAACTGACATGTGATAAAGAAATAATCATAAAAATAGTCATTTTAATTCATGTTGTTCAGAAACTAACATGAGAAAATGTCTTAATTGGGTTTCCCCATGGCCATCACAAACCTCTGGCAGCTTCCTATGTCCTACCCCCGCAGACTGGTCTTGGAGCCTTGTACCTCCAGCCCCAGCATCCCACCAACCTCACGTCCCTTTCTCCCTTACTGTATCCACTACAGAGCATCAGACTGGTCTCTCTCTCCCAAGGGGCACTGCTCCCTCTTTCTGGTGCCTCTGGTCCCTCTTTCTGTTTCCATAACCTAGAAAGCCCTCTGCTCCTCACATCCACCTCCTCAACTCCAACCACACTGCAGACATGAACTGAAGTCCCACCTTCTCGAAAATCCTTCCTTAAACCTTCCTTTGGAATTTTCTCTCCTGGAAGCCTCTGTAAACCTTTATGTTTTGGGCAGCCCAGTTTCCTATCTTATTTCATCTACCAATGTTTCATGTGTTCTAATCTTATCTTTCCTAGTGAGTCTTAAGAGCCCTGAGAACAGACATCATGACTTACTGAGAAGCTAAGTGGTGAACCCAAACAATTATGTCCAGTTCTCATCAATACCTCCTGGCTGGTGGCTGACAGAGGGGTTCACTGTAGATCACTCTCTCAGAAGTGGTCACAATTCTCAAGAGAGTGAATCAGAGCTGATCAGCATAAGAGTTAATGGTTTAAATGCCCAGCCTCCCAGGAAATAATCTGCCTCATTGAATTTTTTGGACAATGGGTTGGGAAAAGGAAGAAGATAGGAGCCGGAAAAATCTGCAGAAAAAGAAAGTCGTTTTTTGCTACATTCCCCCCCCAAATTAACAGTAAGATATTTCCTGTTTTCAAATGAGAGTTAGCAGAGGTTTCCCATCAGAACTGATGGGAATACACAGTCTGATTTACAATACATGATTTTGCCTTAGCAGGTACCCATCTTTTAGACAGAAAAATGTTACTGACAGCAAATTTACAACAGAGCCCTCTACTCCAACATCACCTAGGAGAAGAAATACTTCCATAGGAATGAGAAAGAAAGGCATGTGAGCACATGTCTATACTTACATGTTAAGGCAGGTCTAAGATGTAAGAGGACACAGTCACAAAGAATGTCGAAGGGGTGAGAGGTTTTAAATATTACCCAGCCAGGACACAAGTACAGAAAGTCAAGGAGTTCCTTTTTAAGAGCCTTCGCAATCAGGATTAGCCACATATTATGCTTTAGTGGTACAGAATGGGCGATGCTTGGTGACCTGATGAAACCTTCATGCTTAATTAACAGCCATTTATGTAAACACCTTCCATGTCCAAAATGAGACAGAGAGACACACATGCACAGAGGGCAAAGCTGGTGGTTAGTGTAGAACTAAACCTGATGAGAGAAAGCAGACATATACACAGGAGGCTTGCTACCCAAGGAATCAGGACCTTCCAACGTGCTTTCAACCTCAACCCCCTCCTGCCTGTTGTCATGCCAATGCTCTTATAATTACAGTGCAGTATGGACAGGGGGAATGAATTTCAACTGCTCCTCAGTACGGTTCATTTCATGGAGAAAGCAGGACCAAGGCAGTAGGCCTTGCTCAGCCCTTCCAAATCTTGGCAATCAACAAAGGCCTGGCTCACAGATCCAGGAGAATCTAAACCTGTCCATCAAGGGCCAATCTGTTACCTCCATCGCTGCATGTCCTGGAGTCCGAGGCCAGGCTGTCCGTGGAACCAGTGGTGAAGCTGACGTGGACACCCCTGAAGGATGGCTGAGGCTTTCTGCAGAGCCCTGGCTCACCTTTTCCAAATCAGAGCTGCTCTTGTTCATTTTTAAAAGGTGCCTGGAAAATGTAGGAACAGATAATGAAAGTGATTCAGTTGGTTTCTATTCAGAGGTCGATGGACCATGAACCTGGCAAATGACAGCAAGTTAAAAAAAAAAAGATTCTGGGGAGAGAGAACAGGGGTTTATCTGAAACCTTATGCACGTGAAAGGCAGGAAATTTCCTGAATTTGGTTAGAAGAGAGTCTATGAAATTCAGACCAGCATCAAAATCCAGACTTGGAAGGAGCTGAGCCTGCATTTTGACCTATCTGCCAAAGCATTCATGCATCTATTATGTCTGCCAAAGCATGTCTAAAGAGAAAAGGTCAAGCATTATCATTCAAGCCAATGGATAGACCTACATAGATGGGAACTTTGTGCAAGATCCCAAGTGAATTGTAAACCAGGACCAAACACATAAAGCTTCTGTATTTGCCTGTTATTCTTTCCCTGGCTTGGAAGGGTTTAGGTTGTTCCTTGAAATTAAGGAAAGCTTTATTTAAAACTTAACAAGACTTCCAGTGAAATGCCTAGATAGTCTTAAGTTAAGTCTCTTTCTTGAATCATGGAATCTGCCCTTTGGTTTCCTATGAAATTTTTTGCTGAGTCTCTAAGATACCATTGCCATCAAATGAGAGACAGGAATACCAACTTCAAGGAAAAAGAATTAGCCCTGAAGAAAACACTTCCATTATTGGGAGGAGTGTTTAGCTCATGGATTTCTCCTTCCCCCTGTCTAAGAACCACATGAATGTTCACTTCTAAGCTGACATTTTCACCATGAAATGAGTCAGATCACAATCAACTCAGCTCTTTCCCTGTTGGTCGTAACCCATTTTTATCTAAACTGCTATTTCCTGATGGTTTTCCTGTTTCTACTAAGGCATATCTTCATCTCAGTATCTGCTATAGGAAATGCACAACACAGCATTGATTTGCTTCAGAGCTGCCTTACTTAAATGTACATGACCTTACCGGCCAAGAGTTCATTGATTGTTCTGTGTGTTCAACATTGCCAGGACCTGGCTTAGTTTGCATAGCACTGGAATCCCTTGTTTTTAATAGAATAGTTTAGAGCAAGTTTGTTTGCTACCATGAAAAGTGCTCCTCAGAAAGCATACTGCTCCTCCTCATTCTCAGCCACATAAAAAATGTTTTAAAACTGTTAAATATTATGTGACTGTGACAGCAATGTTTACAACTAACAGTTGTAAACAACTAATATTTCAGTATCACTGCCAGGATCTTACAAATAATCCTTAGGAAGTGCTGTATTAGGAAATAATCTGTATTTAATCCTCTGGCAAAATACAGTCACAGAAAGTCTCTTACAATATTTTTATCCTCATTGGATCCATCAATAGTGTTATGGTTTGAATCTGAAATATTTGCCCAAAGCTCATGTGAAGGCTTGCTTCCCAATGCAGCAGGGGTCACAGGTGAGGCCTTTGGGAGGTGATTGGATCATGGGTGCTCTGACCTTATAGATGGATTAATCCAATTATGGGTTCATAATTTAATGAAAGAGCGAAACTTTAGGAAATGAGTTGGAGGTCATTGGGAGCATGCCATTGTGGCTATAGTTTGTTCCCAAACCCTTCCTCTTTTTTCTTTCAGCTTCCTGGCCACCATAAGGTGAGCAGCTGTGCTCCATTGTCTGCTCCCTGACATGATGCTCTGCCTCACCACAGGCCCAGAATCAATGGGTCCAAATAACCATGAATGAAAACTGTGAGCCAAAGTAAATCTTTTCCTCTTTTAAGTTGATTTTCTTGAGTATTCCATCACCGTGATACAAAGCTGACTAACAAGTCTTTCTCAGACAAGTCAGGAATATGAAGTTGTGATGAGGACAGCCCTTCAGTGTAGGACAGAAGCCGGCCCTAGGGTAATCCAGCTACTTTGTCCCCTCCAAAGTAGTCTCTAGAGTCTCTTGACATCCAGCCCCCAGACCCAGACAATCACCAAGGGAGAAACTCTAGCATCCTGGCTCTAAGCTAACATAGCACCCTATTCCACAAACTTAGAAAACACTTGATAAGTTGTGTGTAAACTGACCAAACCAAACTTAAGAAACTCATAAATACGATCACATGTGAGCATACACACACACACCAGAGAGAGAGAGAAACAGCCATGCTTGAAAGAGAAATCCATGGTGCCACATGTGAAGAGGGAACTCAACACCAGAGCCTTTCAGGAGTGTGGCAGTACTAAGTGCATGCTTGCTGTAGGAATTAGTTGATACTCTTTATCAACCTGAGAAAGTTTGTTTCTACCCTAAGTTTTCTAAGAGTTTTATATTTTAAAACAATTTATAGTTATTAATGTTATCAAATGCTTTTCTACATCTATGGAAAATTCTTGTGTGTTTTGATTCAGGGTCTTACTATACAGTCCAGACTGGCCCAGGACTTGCTCTGTAGCCCAGGCTGGCCTGGAACTCATGATCCCCCTGCCTCAGCCTCTCAAGTGCTGCAATTACAGTTGTGTGCAATCATGCCCAGCTTACTAACTTCACTTTTTAAATTTTAAGTAAATTTATTTCTAAACCGATACACAAAATTGTAAAAATTATACATATTAATAGGATCCTATGTTATATTACTAATAACAAAAGTAAATAAATAAATAAATAAATAAACCTTGAAGTGACCAAACCAAGTATTTGCAACCCACATAACTGACTGGTGTTCAGAATAGAAAAAGAATGTCTATACATATAAGAAACAGATAAATGGCCTCAATTGAAAAGGGAAATGAACAGGCAACTCACAAGAGAAGACGGGTGAAAGGCATGCATGAGAAGACAACCCACCTTCCTAGTGATCAGATTATAAATAAAACAAGATTTCATTTCACAGCCATCAGACTGAACTGGCAATATCAGGTACTGTTAAGAATATGGGAAAACTGGAACTTTCTTGCATTGTCTGTGGGACCATAGATTCACACACATGTGCACACATGCACACACACAATTTTTTTTTTGGGTTTGAACTCAGGGCTTCGCACTTACTAGGCAGGTGCTCCTACCACTTGAGCCCACCTCCAGCCCAAACCCACATAATTTAAATAATCTTGAAAGTTAAATGTGCACAATCCTATAACCCAGTATGAAGAAAGGAAGGATGGAAGGAGGGAGGGAGACAGAAAAGAAAAGAGAAAAAAGAAAAGAAAAGAATCAAGAAACAAAATCTTAGGAATGATAACTGTTTCACACGAACTGCATCAAAAAACTGCCATCCTGGAAACTTGTGCCATCCGCACTCTGAGGATTGCCACTTTAATTAGGGAATGAGCAAAAAACCACATCAAATTTAAAAATCAAAGGAAATCTTGCCATCAAAGCACAGACTTACAGTCAAGCTGTTTTTGATTCTTCAGTATGTATATACAGTAGACTTCTTAAGAATCCCCGGAAAAACCTTAATATCCCAAAGGTGACTTTTCTGAGCCCTCCTGGAGTGTTTTGTCAGATGTAAGGCCAAATGGCAATAAGAATGCACTTAACAATGTACAGCAAGACTATACTTATTTTTTAAATGGCACATTTCCCTTATTAATACTTTGATTTGTATTTCATAAAACTGGTGCAAACCTTCTAGAAAATGAAATCTAATGTGTAATTTTAAGCAAGTGGCTTCAATGGAGAACAGCCACACACTAGTCTTTGCCCTGTTTGGGGACTAGCATTCTTATCAGCTCCAGCAAGTGTGGCCTCCACAGATGTATTTGCTCTCTCCATGTGATAAATGACTTGTTCTTGCTCACACTTCCTTTCCTGCCTCCCACTGTTGATTAGGGACAGGGTCACAGAAGAGCTGTGTGAAATCCATGCCTCGGTGGCACAGCGTCCTTCCAGACTCAGCCCTGCAGCTGCTGCCAGAGCTTTCAGAATGGCTTTTCCCCCCATTGTCCTTGGAGAGCAAAGCTTTGCAAGAGTGGCCTCCATCGAACGTTGGTAGAAAGCTAGAAAAAAAAAAAAAATCCAGCCGGAAGAGCCATCTGCCAGATTTCCTCATTCATAGGAACAAGTAACTTCTAAAAATACCCCGAGCTTCTAGAATGAGAGCTTTTAGAATGTCCACGATTCTTAATGGAGGCCATGCCCCAGCGTGCGTGGCAAAGACCATATCTCAAACTTCACATGGTTGCTAAAACTCTCAGTCAACAGCACATCTTACAGTATGACTGAGGCAAATTTTCATTCTCGCTGCCTGGTTTGCTTTAGCTCACAGACACATGGCAGAGAGCTTGTTGTCTCTGGAGCTGAAGATTTGCAAGTAATAATACCAGGGGGCAGTTTGAGACTAACTCTCAAATTCTATTCTCAAATTCAAATTCTAGCAAACATTCATACCACCAAGGCTGGGGATAGGTCACATTCTTTACTAAATGTGGATAAGACCTAAAGGAAAGTTTAAAGAGTAACAGAGCTTTGAAAGTATAGCTAAAAATTTAAGAGGAAGTGAAAAGTTGGTTTTAGACTGTAACAATCAAAAGAATAGGAACGTCTTACCATCCTAGAGTCCAGCCTCATGTGCCGTCCTCATCAGCATGGCCTCCTGAGCCCTGTGACAAGCTGGTCAGTGACTTCAGGGTCCCTTGGAGCAGCTCTTTGAGGGTGACAGGCTGGCAGCAAATTCAGCCCTGAGTGCCTGTCAGGCTGCTGTGAATTCCCCGGCACTGGGAGCTCCGTTTCCCCTCAGTTCCTCTCTGACTTTTCTATAAAATGCACTTCCTGCATAAGCACAGGAAAATAGGGACGGCTCTGCCTCTCTGATCTGCAGCTTTTAATCTCTAATTGTCTTATTTGGTTCCATGATCAGAAGAAATTCCAACACACTCTAATACATCAAATTTCTCCCTAACTATTTTGTACTGTTTTGCAGCCACAAAAATCAGGAAGTTGTTCAAGTTTGCTTGCTGAATACCCTGTTTTTAACTTCTCTTTTGCTGTATGAGTTGCAATGTATTCTCCTTGCTGTCTGTCCCAAATACCATCCCCAGGTT